AGGATACTGCATTCTCGCGAATTGCTGCATTTATACGAGTGACCCATAAACACCGAAAATTTCTTTTGTGCCTATCTCTATCCCGATAGGCCGAAAACAAAGCTTTTCTTTTTTGTTGAATAATAGTCAGTCTTGAATGAGCCCCACGAAAGCTTGATGTGAATAAACGAATTTTTGTTCTACGCCTCCGAGCTATATATCCTCGTCTAATTCTGGTCATTGAATAAACGAAACTTTGATAAATAACTAATTGATTTCCTTTCTTTCAGTTATTCTTTTTCCCATAACAAAACGGATTCTTCCAATGTATAAAATAAGAATTCCAACGGCTTTTGCTACTCTAACCTTCCCAACCACGATTTTTTCTTTTTTTTTATACCTTGAAATAAGAAATTTTATTGGTACTAGGTATCAAACAAGAATATAGTAAATAAATAAGTAGTAGTAAATAGAAATGGATAAATAAATAGTGGGTTCCATCGTTTCTATGGTTATTTCTTAAACGGGGAGGTCCTCTCTATACACCGGAGCCCCTTACTTGATCGAATCAATGCTATTGTTAACTTGTAAAGTTTAAACTTTTTGGCTCTACCCTCCCCAGTAGTAGGTCTTTCACAACGAGATCCGTTTTTACAGTAACGGTATTTAATTATGCGGATTAGCTGACCTTGTTAGTCCGTTCTTGCAAGAGTAGAGGCATCCATTTTCGGCTTTTTAATTTAAATAAGATTTGCCCTGCTTAACAGATAATCATTTGCTACCAATGGGGAATTCTTTCGCATTTTCAATTGAAAATTGAGGTAATTGAATTTGCACCAATAGAAACCATAAATTTGATACACAATAGAAGGATATTCTAGATCTTATTTTTTTTCGTTTTAGATAGTGAAGGGGAGTCTTCCATTCTATCCTATTCATCGGTACTGATCACGGATAGTGGAAAAATTCTTTCTTTTCTTTTGTCCCAACCCACAATCTGAAATCTGAACGAGTCGCACATACACCCTAGTACATGTCCCTCGGCGCTGAGGGCATCCCCCGAGAGCGGGGGATTTGGTGACATTTCTGATTGGCTGTCTTGTGTTTCTAATAAGTTGTTTAATAGTTGGCATGTTGAATCGTATGCATAATGGGCTGGTTTAGATCGATCCTAACCGGATGATTATGAATTCTTTCTATATTCATATTCTATTTTATTAAAATTAAAAAAATTCAAATTAATAGAATACGGTAAGAAACTAAAATCTCAAATCGCGATTTGTGTTAAATTCCTGCTATTTTTTATGCAACTGCTACAAGATCAACAATTCCATGAACTTGGGCTTCTGCTGCTGACATAAAAACATCCCTTTCCATGTCTTCGGATACAACCCATAACATAAGGGTTTGCCTGTTCTTTGTGCATAAACCCTTGTGAGGATTTCGCGCAGTTTCAGTAGTTCTTCCGCTTCCAGGACAAATTCTCCTATTTGTGCTTCATAAAAAGCAGCAATAGGTTGATGGATCATTACCCTGATGATATAAGATAATAAATAAAGGGTTACTTTATCTCGCATAAGAAGGTCACGAGAAGAGATAAAGAATAAAAAAAAAGACCAGGGAATCCATAAATTGAAAGGATAGGGGGGGCACAGCCCCCAACCAAGGGAGTGGATCCAGTATGTCCCCCCTTATTCATTCCCGGCATGCTGCCCCGGGGCCGGAATGCGGTAGGGTCTTCAAGCCCCACGCTCGATTCTCGAGATTCATGGGCCGTCTCGCGAAGATCTTCGATCCGAACCTTCGCATCTACTTTCTCTTAGAGGATGAACCACGCCTTCGCTATCGCCCCTCGCTACTGCTCAACCTCGCTATCGCATTGATTCTTGCCGGCCCTTCCAGATTCAAATTCCTTATTGAGATCGAGATCTTGTTCCATTAGACCCAGTTTGGTCAGATTAGTTCCATAATATAGCTTGCCCGGACCGGGCTTTCAGTCTTTGGTCGGGCCGGCCTAATGAATGATCATTGTTCGGGAACAAAAGAATAAGACTTAAGGCTTTTGCTATCGCAAGACGATCGAAGAGCTATCGCTCAGCTGCTTCGCGTATTACGAAAGCCGTATTGCCCGAAGGGGGCATGCTGCAAGAGCGTAGGTCAGTGATAAGCGTAGGAGGTGTGCCCGAAGGGCAGCGGCAGCAGTGTGGTTCCGGGTGCCGTCGCTAGATTGAGATCCGCAGGGTGGCGGGGACTTCGACTGCCTTGTATCAGGTGAAGAGAAGGGGGTTTTAGAGGTAAGACAGATCATTACGTAATACAGAGTCAGACGGGAGAAGGATGGGAGTAAGTTAAGTGAACCGAGGTAGTTAAACTAGGGCATATAAGCAATCAGCTTGTGTAAGCATGGCTTGAAGGTAAGCTTGCATGCTGTCAGTAAAGAGAGCTCTTAGTTAGCTCGTAAACTCGCTTTCCCATTATACGCGCAGCAAGAAAAGGAGAAAAATACCTCTTTAGAGTGACCTTGCTATTACTTATTAATGAATTAACGATAAATGCACTGAAAGACAAAATCGTTTCCCAACTAGAAAGAATTTTGAGAGTCTATAGGGATACTGCTGTAGATGTGAACTTACCAACAGGAGTCAATCTCCAAGAGGTAGCCGAACGTCTTTTTTTTAGCGACGCAAGCATTCAATGTCTAAACCAGATCTATGTAGATCTCGTCAATCAGGGCACGCAGAGTCCCCACTTTGCCCAAGCTCTTGATTATGTTCTGGGAGGTATGTAGTTAGGATTTTTTATAGGCTTTATTTAGAGTTTAGGTAAGACTTTCAGACCACCATTTTCAAATTCTCCCCCGGACGTAGCTGAAAGGTGAACCGGGTTACCAAAGTCACGATTAGAATAAATGGTAGTTCGCTGGGATCCTCTCATGCTTCCCAGAGATGGAGGTTCGAATCCTTCTCGTGACTGACAGGAAAAGTCCAATACTCAACCTCGAATACGACTTGCATGTTATCGCATATCGTTGTTGTAGCATGATTTTAGCTTCTTAGCGCTTAAGCTACTACCTACTCTATAAGAAAGCCTACTTACCTTAGATGGAGGGAGGAGATAGTAAGGAAGACTTTCTACGCTATACGATCTTTCTTCTCTTATGATATTTCTCGTAATCTCTCATTGGGAATAGCCCTTGAAAGATAAAGATCGCTTTTCATGCTTCAATGAATCCCTTGACTCTGGTTTCCTTTACTCCTTTCCTTTGCTTTCTTGATCTAGCTTTCTGACTGTGAATGATTCTTCTTCTTCTCAACAGCAGTCGTGAGTCCTCCCACCAATAGTGAAGTCGTCAAAAAAAATATATTATTCTAATAAGACGCACGAGGAATAATCGGGCAAGGCGGTCTTTCTCGTTACTTTGACGGCTGTTTGCCCTTTTCTGACCGAAATAGAAGAGCAGGTCTCGTGCCTGGGAGATTTTTCCAAATCCCTAACGAATAGAGCCGGTAGGAACTAGCTGCGACGCAGCAAAACAATTTCATTGCGGTAAGCACTCTTCTGAGACTAGAGACTGACTATCTATTGGCCCCAACCTTTACAGCTCCCTAAATCTCGAACTCAATCATCGAAAGGGAAACTGGATCAACAGGTGATGAAAGCCTCTTCAGTAAACTCTTTCCGCTTCCGCTTCTGAATCTGGATGGCGGCTTTGGTTGGAGAAGAGAGTTTTTCAGTTATGGTTTAGGGCTAGTGAGTTACTCATTTCATTCATTCGATTCATCACAAGGGCATTCGCTAAGCAGCTAAGCTGAAGTCAAATACCCGGAAAAGTCCTATCTCCGAATTCCGGTAAAGAAGAAATTAATTGATAACAGATCATTGCTAAGAAAGAAGAGTTTCGTAGCCAAGCCAGGAAGAAAGCCAAGGGTAAGAAGCTAAAGCATAATAAGCCTCAAAATCTCGCTCCCTCGCTCGTGTACTTAGCACTGCAACTCGATCTGGTAAAGGGACAGGGACTGCTGCAACGAGAACTTAAACTCAAAATGAATTTAATCCTGCCTCGAGAATCTGCTATAGCGATACCTACATTAAATCAATTGATTTAATGTAGGCAGTAGGCATCGCTCTTGACCTTTCTTCCTTTCCCAGGACTGAAAGCTTCCTAAACTGGATCAATGTGAATGTCCGAGTAGGGTGAATCAATGAATGTCCTGTTAGAAGGCCGGGTAACTATCAATTTCATAAGAGAAGAGAGATGGGATCGTAGGCTAGATCACGTCCCTTCCAGTTGATTGCTTTTGTACCTGTACTTGGATCCCGTCCCGAATCACTAAATAGTGAGGGCTCGGAACTTCTATTCTTCATCTTAGAATCGGGTAGAATGCCGTGCTGTTCAAACTCGGACTCGCGAGTTAATGATTAGAAGCACATGCGAGTTTTACCCACCAATCTCTTCTAACTGCAGCTTTTGCTCAATCATACGCGGGAGAGGGAATATCTTGAATGGATAGATGGGAGTATTATACACGTAATATACGATGACTAGTTCCGATCGTGGGATCGTTCTCTCGTTTCCCTCACCTCAATAGGTGGGTAAGATTGCTATTACAGTACCTAACATGTTGTCATTTCGAGTGGGTGGGACATAGAGGCAGAGGTGGGGGGCTTTGAGAGCTAAAGGCTTGGGCTTCTGCTGGCAAGAAGAGGCCGAGGTAAGAATACGACCCTAAAGTATAGGGCAACTTCGTCTCCAAAGTCCTATTAAGCTCAAAAGAAAGAAGCACTGCCCTGTAAAGCAGATATTACGAAGTGGCATTTCAAGATACGAAAGCTGATCATGGGACGGCAGCCTGCCTACCAACCAAATATGAAAAATTTTGTTAGTACCATCTGTTGCTCTACATCGCGATAGACCAATTGCGTGAGCGGGAAATAGAATAAAAATACGAGCGGAGCGGATCTCGTCCCTTTTTGCCGAGGAGGGGTTTCCCCGTTGTCGAAGGACAGATCATTAGTTGGAGACAAAGAAAGCCTCATATCACAGCACTTCTCGAAGATCATGTTCTAAAGATAACGTATATATAAGAAAATGCTTGTTTTGTGATCTTCGTCTAGAAGGAAAGGTGGCCCATACCTGATTTCGATGTGACGAGCCCAGCCGCCGATTGGATTGGAGGGAAGAAGTTGTTGACCTTTAATAATGCTCCGCTTCCAAGCCTCCTCTTTCACACCCAGCGAGCAGGTCATTCTCCTATTTGTCAATGTTCATCACATCCTCCTATGCATCCCTGGCTTTCACTCCTATACTACGGGTCTTTGACCTACTGATCGATCCCACACCTGGCCTCAAGGCAGATGAAAGACCAGGAAAAAAAGGCCATAAACTATACCCGGCTCCAGGTCAAATAGCCGAATTAGCATCGATTGAATCACAAATCACCGTAGTAGCTTAGATAGATCGAAAAAGCTGTGAATAGGGCTTCAGTTCTTATTTTCCCAAATTAGTTCAGTGGGGAGGCAACTCAATACAATAGGTAGCTCAAGCCGATAAAGAAGCTCAAACCTGGCTTGTGTAGCCTATGCGAAGCAAGTCGGAACTGGCTCAAGGGAAAGAGATGAATCGATAAGAACGATCCCAATTGAATCAATAGATGCAGGATTACCCAAGGGATGCCTTCCTAAGCCCAAATTACTGGATTTCCTGCTTTCTTGAACCGGATTACACTGACAGAAGAAAGATGCCATATTAGCCCTGATGAAGCTTCCCGCCTAACCTTACCTTAGATAGGGGGAGAAGTAAGGCACGAAGAGTTTCCATGATGTGGCGATGTTTTCGTTCAGCACGCCCATTCAAAAGGCAATTAGGCCAATTAGACTGAAGGGAAGGTGCGAGAAGGAAATAGAATAGTCTTTTTTTCAAAAAAAAAGTATGCGCTCTGCTAAGGCTCATCGGTCTTTTGGCAATATAAAGCATACTACTCATCGATTATTTGGTCTTTTGTGATCGAAACAACCTAGGAAGAGTTGTTGCCTACATAACCTACCTTCCAGACAAGAAGGTATCAGATCACTGTAGTTCTCGACCCTTTTTGTTAAACCAGTTCCTGTACTCTTTTTGAATGAATTCCAGTCTGTAAAGTAATCTGGTGGAAGGAAGAAGGGCAGCTTGAAAGATTTCACCAGGTCCAGTTCTTGTTATCGGACTAGAAGCAGCTAATGAATCCGCATCTGTTGGAGGAAGGACTGCTATTGCATCTTTTATCGGACGGGCTACTTCTGTTGATTGAGAGATGGGAATGCCTAGTCAAGATGTGCCGTGGGATTTCCCTTCTGAGATGGAGGTCCTGTTCCCAGTTGAATCAGAGCTGTGACCAAGTCGACTGCTCTCCTTCTCCTAGCAAAGTCCTATTCGGGGTGTGAAGGAAGACGAGGCCGATCCTTATATTTAAATAGTATTCCACGATCTCTCTATCTGTAAAGGTAAAGTACCCCTGGGATTCGACTTGCCTTTCTTGCTTTTAGAACGGGGAGGGAACCTGAAGTCTGGCAGAAAATCCGAATCATAGTTAGCAGTTTGAATAGAACCAGTGTCGTAGCCAAGAGAATGGGAAGCAGGGCAATGATAATTGTTCGGTTGGGATTCTGTGAGTAAGGGAGCAGAGGCAGAATCGAACTAAGAAGATTCGGAGTAATGAAAATAGAACTCAAAAGCAACTTACCATGACATTTGTTGAGAAAATCCTGCTAGAAAGAGGAACTTGGCATAGGTAGCGAGGAGTTGACTTCCGGAATCAACAGGTTGGTAATTTCATACATGATGTCATTCCATTCGCTCATCTTTCTCCTCGTCGGGAAACCTTTCGCTAGTCTGGTGGTAGCTTCGGTGCCCTCCCGCCTCTCGATTCTCGGCAGGGTTTTCTCAACCTCAATCATTTCATATTTTCTTCTCGATCAACAAAGTGGAACAAAAGGCTAGTTTCCTTTGCGCAGCGCTTCACCATGCTCCTTGCTGCACGCGCTAGGGACTGTATAACCGGCTGCTTTCGGTTGTTTGACACACCACTTAGGCGGCAGGTAAGCTTGATGACTGAAAGCTTTCAATTCAAGTTAAGCAACGAAGAGGTCGAGGCATAGCCCAGGTGCTTTTAGCGAAGCCGGAATTCCATTAAGGTAGTTCCGCCGAGGGGAAGAAGAATTCTAGATCGAATGCGACTGGGATTGAGGAGGGCTAGCTTTCACGTGGTTCAGGCTCCAGGGGAATGCTTTTTAAGCTCATACCAGAAAATTCCCTATCAGACAAAGCTCTATAAGGTAAGGAAGAAAATCAGTCTTAACTAAAAGCCTATCGAAGTCACTTACGGATCCGGATTCCATTCTTTTTGAGTGAACGAAGCGCAAGCTCCGCCCAGACCCGCTCAACGCTGCGCCCCCCCCCTCAGCAGCAACAAGGTGCTCCCAAGCGACCCTGGGGACCCAACCCAATGGAGCTCACTACCAAAATGACCCCTACCCATTCCTACCTATTCTCCATCCTTCTGACCTGGAAAGCCATTTCTCTACCCAGAGATCACTCCCCTGGCCTCCTGGTCTCGACTATTTAAAGTTCTGTCCAGTTCACCGAGACGCAGGCCATACCATCGAAGAGTGTCATACTTTGCGTGATGTCATCTATGACATGAATGATGAAAATCGTATCAATTGGAACGAAGTTAAGGCATACCTTAAAGCCGCCAATGTCACTGAAGCTATTGGGGATCTATACTAATCCAATGCCACAACATCAAGGGGGACAAGTCACCACTCAGGGACCTACACCGGTACAAACTAATCCAGGACCTTCTGCCAGCGCTAACACCATCCGAGCTTGCACTGCCGCTCGAAGAGAGATGCCTGTGAGACCCCCTCCAGTTCTGTAATTCGAAGGAGGTTCTGAGAATTTTAAACTCCGGAGTCACCCCCAGGAATCGAAGTTCCAAAAGCAGACGAAATCACTATGGAACCGGACCTCCTCGCTGCCGCTCAATTCATTACCAGGAAGAGGCAAATTCGCTTTTTTAGGAAGGGTGGGTTGAAAAGGTGAAGAAGGAAGAATGTATCCGAACGAATGCATCGGCAGAATATTACCCCCTTTTTTGAAATCCCCTCGTCACCTACTAGTGAGCCGGAAAGCTTAGGGGCTCCTCTCGTTCCTCTTCCCCCATTTGACAACCCTATCTCAGAATGTTCGGATGATTCTCTGGAACCCCCTTAACTAATAGATGCTTCAATACTAATACTAAATAAATAATGGGGTTGGGAAAAAGCAGAATAAAAGGATTTCACGGGCAGAAAGGCGAAGGGAAGTTCGGAAAAGCCTAGCAGACGGGACACCCCTTTCTATTAAGACCTCGGCATATTCCTTACCCCCCTACGAAACATTTACCCCTATTTTGAAGTGAAGAGGAAAGCTCCCAGGTTCCGAATCTTAAAGAAGTGCATGACCAGATTGGAAGCACCGAGGTTAATTCGCAATGGGCCAACTCACCCAGCCATGATGCATGACAGAAGAGAGCGAGCACAAAATGGAGTTTCCCTGTTGCACATTGAATCCCTAAGCAGATTAAGGGTGAGGTTCACGTCCGGAAAGAATCTTTTTCAAGACTTTCTCCCCTATGTTGAACTTTATCTATATTACCTTATTGTGGAATGCAAGGGAAAGCCTTCTCTGGTAGACCTGGACATGTTCCATGGCGTGAAGTCTCTTCTCATCTAATAGCTCTAATTTGTCCTAGGATGATGTTCGAAATCACGGCCAACACGGCTCGCTCCATACGCGACTTATGGGAAGATAGTTTCATTCATGCTCGAGGTGCAGGATACGCCTGAAAAAGACTGATTCTTCAACTTGGCTTAGAAAACTGGAACGAAAAAGAGCTGGAAGGATAAGAACTTTCCTCTCCTCGCACTGGGAAGGATTTTTCTTATATTCTCTTTCTTTATCGGACAGGTGTATGCTGGAGAAGAATGAAGCCTCTCCTCTAAAGGAAGTCGATAGACTGACTGTCTTGCTTTTATTTCTTCTTATAATTTGGAAGGAAACTCGGATGAAAGAATAAAAGAGGATGACTTCAGATTTGAGGCCTTACGAGGGTTTAGAGACTAAAGACGATAGCGGCAGGATTAGGCTATTATTCTATTAAGGAAAAGTTCCTCTTCGAATAAGAAAGAGGATTGAGACGAGACTACGATCTCCGGTTGGACAAATTCGCCAAAGATAGGTAGCTCTGCTCTAGCTTACACTCCCAAGTCTACGATTCTGAAACCTTATTTAGGAGTGACAGAACCCGGTTTAATTTAAAAGGGGTCCTCTAGCAAGCCCTTTAAGATATAGAACTCTAACTCAACAGAATTCTCCAGCCGTCCCGCTTTGGTAAAGGAATGTTACTCTGATTGGTAATGTTGGCGATGCCAAGCATGCTCAGGACGGATCTAGCGCTAAGAAAGTAGGAAGGACGTTTTCCAGCGATCTTGGGGCAGCCGTCGGCGTGGGTAGCTGTGTCACGCTAAGTAACTGATAGATTCTCTCTCAATGGGTTTTCCTTCCTCCCTATGGTGTTTCTTTGGCAAAGAGGTTTGTTTTTTCAAGAACGAGATATTGGTAGCTGATGGACTTAAGGGTTTGGAAGCTATTTCGTCTGAGGTTTTTGATCGATTTCCACTCCTAGCCCAGAAGAGAAGGGACTGAAGATAATTCTATGCTAATTAAGTAGTTTGTTATATCCAATTCTTAAAGAAAAGTATGTATTTGAAGTTTGGTAAGATCTTCCCTCTTGTGGAAGAGAGGAAGGCACTAAGACCCGCTAGAAGGACTCTAAGGGAAGAAAGAAAGCCGTCCTAGTGAGGTGCAATGCTGAAACTGTGATCGGTAAACAAACCCTACAGAAGTCGGAATGGGATACTTCACTAAGGAAGTAGCACCGGCGGTTAACTATACTAATCATAGGCATTCTGAGTTGCGTTTGGGTATGGAATGGATAGGCCCCAAGTGGCTGCCTCTCCTACTACCAATGTGTGTGGGCGGATCATCGCCCCTTCATTCTGGTTCTACTTCATTCGCTATTAACAAGACGGCACACGCAAGACAAAAGATGTCAAATCAGGCCCTTGAAAGGTGTAGATGAAGCCTTTTCCTTTTCTGCCGGAAAACACTTGAAGGATACGAGGCATAAGACTATGGATCGAACTTCTTAAGAGGGAACCGCTACTGCAGCCAATCCATTGAAAGGTGAAGGCAATGCTAAATGCAGATGCAGACCGATTGGGTTCTCCCTTTTTTTTGCTAGGGGGGTGATGTTACCAGGTTTTTCGCGAATGTGAGGTTCAAGTACTGCCATCCTTTGTTGGTCGAGTTCGCTGTGTAATTTCAACAATGCCATTCGAAACCGAAAAAAAAGGCCGTAGCTGCATCTTTCGAGAAAAAGAAAGAATAGGTGTCACGCCGATGATTAGGAGAAGGTATCTTATGGCTTAGGGAAGGGCGCTTCTGCCCAGATCTATGATTGATCTAGAATTCCCCGAGACGAGACGAACTGTCGATTCTCCGATAAATGTCAATGACTTAAACATGTTTCCGAGACTTCAACATACATGTTTGGCAGCGGCAAGGAGCGTTTTTGACTTCCTAACACGGATACCAAGACAGCTGAGCAGTGAGGAATAGGATCACTTTTCCTTTCAGTCTCGAAGCAAGCTGTGGTACAATCCCTCCTTCGCTCCGGCTCGTTCCGTTCCCGTGTAAAAGCTATACCTTTCGATTCCTATCCCGCAGTGAACGAAGTTCGCGATGGGTTAAGGGGCCGGGATCTGGGATTCGGTATAATAACTCCTCGTAATTCAGGCGAGTGGAGGAAAGTTAAGTTGACTGTTGGAGGAAAATGGGCGAGCCCTACTAGTACAATAGTCTACGGAACTAAAGGATCGGCTATTAAGAGACAAAATAGATTCGGCTCGTTGGCTCTATAGACTCACTCTCTTCAGAGAGGAGTTTACTACAAGTATGGCCTCGTTTAGCCTTGTCTTAAACGGTGGCTCCGTGGTCCCAAGTGCTCGTCTTTTTCACTTCTCCCTGGAACTGTTGATCCCTTCCGCTCCGTTCGTTCCGAACTCGCGAGCGGCATGTCAAGTCTCTTTTCTTTCAACTCCGCTCGGTGATCGCTCATGGCTAATATAGGTAGGTCCAGAGCTAGCTAGTGTTCAGAAGTCATTTAAGAGATTTAATATGGGTCCTATTAGAAGGCTATAGCCCCAAAGAGATAGAGATTCGCATTCGGGAAGGGAACCATAGCAGCTGATAAAGGCTGCTGGTGGAGCCGGAGAAGAACCGGGATAAGGGCTGGTAAGTACTAAAGCTGCTGGAGCGGCTGCCTTCGCCCACGAAGGAATCGGAATCTCGCTACTTCCCCTAACTTTCCTAGAGCAGGAGAGAGTGAATCTACAAGCAGGGAATCAAAAAAGTAAAAGAATAGGCATCGCGCAAGAGCAGACCTGATTTCACTAGTCTCAGGGCAGGAGTAGGCGGGATAGATGCCAATTCCAAAACCACATGCAAGCAAGGAAGGCAGCAGGATTGGCCCCAATTGAATCCATAGTAAAGAATCGGACATGGAATGCGCGGGAACTTATTCCACATGGGGAAGGCGAGAAGGGCTTGTTCTTGAATTAGATGGGGCATTAGCGGTCTTAGGTGATTTATCATTGCCCCCAGGAGAGGTACGAAAGTAGGGCTATTCAAAGCACAGTGAGGCAAAGCGAGTGAGAGGTATGCAATCCCCAGCTTGAAGTAAGCCAAGGAGGGACACGAAAGGATCATTAAAGTCGTGTTTTGCTAGGCAAAGGTATAGTCATTTTTTAACATATTGAGAGTTGCAAGGAACCTTCTACACTGTTGCTTTCTAGTTTTCATCCAGCCAATCTATCGATGTTTTGTTTTAGTCCCTGAAATGCGATCTTGATCTGCTTTTGAGGTAAAAAACAAAGTGATGATTGATTTCCATTGTTCGAGAGCTACCTTCCTGCTATGCTTTCTGTCTTGGGTCAAGTCAACCAAGTCATTCAATAGTCCAACAAGCTTTGCTGTCGCCGGGCACATAGAGAAGTCGTTCTGCTCTGTTCAGTATCATAAGTACTGGATGTTCCTGGAAGGGGTATGTCCTAAGGTATAAAGCTTTCCCTTCAGAAAGCTTTGAATCAAAAGGTGGTTGTTAGACTTCGCTCGGAAGCGTCTTTCTCAGTTTCCAATGAAAGTCTTACTTTCGCATGTAGTTAGCCTTCCGAACTTTGGTCTGTCGAGGGTTTCGGACTGTAAATGAATCTTTGACTCTAAAAATGAAAATCGAAAAGGGAAGCGGGGATTCATGGTCATTGACGGTTGATATCGAGAAGGCCTCGGATCCGGTGGGGTTTCATTCGGGACACCTTGTTTGAGATTTTTTTGCCTAGTCAGATGCTGGAGCTCATTATGATGTGTATTTCTACGAGTAGTATGCAGGTTTTTTGGAATGGAGAGGTGACAGATGCCTTTTTGCCGTCTCCCGGAGTTAGACAGGGATACCCTCTATTTCTTACTATATATATATATTTCTTGGAAAGATTAGCTCATGATCTAGCGGTTCGACAAGGATTATGGAAGCCTATTCAGTTATCTAAGAATGGTCCCCAGCTTTATCATTTGTTTTTTGCGGATGACTTGCTCCTTTTCGCTAAAGCATGAATGGATCAAGTTCCGGTCATTAAAGCTTGCTTGGAGTCCTTTTGTGCGGTCAGAAAGTTAGTCTTGCTAAATCCAAGATCCATTTCTAAAAAAACCTCTCTGATGGTCTCTCTTGTGCAATCAGTAGAGGTTTCGGTTTCACCAAAACAAGGAACCGTCGGGAAGTTTCTTGGGGTCCCCGTCACTCCATGATCGAGTGACAAGAGCCACATACCATGATATTGTTAATCGAGTTCATGAGAGACTAAGTAGGTGGAAGACCAGCCAATTGTCGATGGCGGGGCGTACTACCTTGGCCCAATCGATAGTCACTGCCCTCCCAACGTATACAATGCAGACCGCAGCTCTTCCTTATACGGTTTGTGAAGAGATTGAAAAGCAAACCAGAGCTTTTCTTTTTGGATCAGGTGTAAAAAAGCCTCATTTGGTGCGTTGGGATAGGGCCTAAAAAAAACGGCGGTCTAGGTATTAGGAAAGCTAAGGAAAATAACGAGGCTCTTATCATGAAGCTAGGATGGGGTTTATTAACACAACCGGATAAACTCTGGGTGCAGATTTTGAAAGGAAAGTATGTTAAGGATAAGGGGCACCCTCCTGTGGTAATTACCAAACCGAATGCTTCCCCCTTATAGAAAAGTATGGCCTTTGGTTCTTCAAGGATGCAGATGGGTTATAGGTAACGGTAGGGTAGCGAGGTTTTGGCTTGACCCATGGGTGGAAAATAAAGGACCACTTATTCACAATAAATCAAGTTCACAAGGGTGCCGTGAATCTCTGTGTTGCTGCTTATTCATCAGAATGTGGCTGGAATTGGAGTGCGTTTCAGATGTTCCGTTCCTGCCTCATCATCTTTGTCTACTGATTGCTGGGATTAAGCCCCCGCATAACTTTGCGCCTAATGATCGCATCATCTGGGGTCAAGGGAACTTCACCACAAAGTCAGCGTATGCTATTTTTTCGGGGCAGGTTTGGGGCGGTGGGAGATAGTTTGGAAATGTCCCGGGCCCCAACGGATTCCAGCTTTCCTATGGCTGGTTTTGCATAATAACTTGTTAACGAATGTGAGTCGCAAATAACGACATATGACTTATGTTAGCTCTATATATGTATGCGCTTTAGCCCTTTTTTCGTAATTGAATATGGAAAGAGAAAGAGATTCGTCTTGCTTATGCGCTTCTTCATTGGCTTGAGTGTGTGGTATCTGCTTCTGACCGAACCGCTCTTTCTCTCACTCACTCTTCTCCTTTTTCAAGGAAGGGCGATTGTCTTAGTGTTCCGGGAAGAACGGAGATCCTGCGCTAAGAATAAGAAAAGAGAATACCCTATCTACCAAGATAAAGAGTACTCTCTCGTGCAAAATCCTTCCATTGGTCCCTTCGCTAAGAAAAGAAAAGAAAGAAGGAAGACTTTTCTTAAGCGTTCGTGCCCCATGCTCACTTCACTCACTAATTGCGTCAGTGAAGAAAGAAATCCAAACCTATAAGTTTCAGTGGGACAGAGACCTAAAGCCCCAAGTTACAATGAGAAAATCCCATTTCCATTTTTTTTGGGAGGCCACTCCTCTTTTCCAATTCCAAACAATTTAAGAAGCGCACCAGGACGCTTTCAAAGTTTCTTCGGGATACGCCAGTTGCCGATGTGTCTTTAATTTAAAAAGAAAGCAAAGAAGGAATTTTCGCATGAAAAAGAAAGTCTCACTCCTTCACCTTATACAGAACTTGTGTCAATTGATTCGAAATCAAAGTCAGCAAAGCAAGTTCAAACTACCTGCCCAGTCGAAAACCCTCTATATAAGAACACAGTTGATGCGAGCTGGTGAGAATCTAAAACAGCTTATGGACACGCACAATTTGAATCTCCCACCTGACTGGACATTTCCACAATTTACAACAGAAGTCATTGGGATCATTTTTTTTTTCGATTTTACAGGATCTTTCTTTATATGGTAGTGATTCTTTTCATCAAGCCTAAAATCTTCTCCATTTTCTTTCTTCAGGGGCAGGGGGTGGTTAGTCTAATCTCCGGTGGGGGATGCATTTCTGGTCGGGCGAACCGACCCCCGGATCCGCTTTTCTTGTTTATTTACAGCAGCGGCATTCTCCCTTTACTTTTACATCCATTTTTTGAATCATGGAATTCTCTCCCGAACTAACAACTCTATTAGAAAGTTGGATTCCAACTTTTACACGAATTTGAAAGTGGATGATAATGGATTTACATCACGATATCTTTTTCTTCCTCATTCTTTTTTTGGTTATTTTAGGTGTCTATCTACCTCTTTTTTTGTTTGCTCCGAAAATTCTACATGGATCGACCGGGCCATGGTTTGGTACCGATGGTTCTCCGGCTCCATGCGGGCCAGCCGAGCCCAGCGTTCCGAACAAGCCTACGAAAAAAAAATTCGTAGAGCTTATACCTTCTTCTCCAGAAAGACTGCCACCAGTATTGTAGAGGTATGGGTTTCTGTGGCAAGTATTGTTCGAGGGGCCGAGAGGACTTGGACTTTCTCGAAGCCGCACATGAGATCGCCAAAAACTCTTTTTTTTATGATGGCGCGGACCCTTAATAAATATAAATAAATAAGAAATAATCTGCTAAATCTGATTCGACAACATAGTAGTGAATCAAAATGGCAATCTGACCCGAATGCGCACTGGATCTTTGACTTACTCCGCCCAGGGGAGCTTTCGTTCGAAACAAGGTAGCCGTAAGGAACCCTATGGCTGGGGCTGGATTGAATCCTTCCCTTCCTTCTCTCTGGAACAATCGAGGGCACTGCCTTCCCTCAGCTTTCAGAGGTGGGGGCTGCATCAATCATCGCTCAGTGAGCTATTTTTTTTTTTGCCGCCAATAGCGATGCAAGGCGGGCACGCCAGGTAGACGCGCTAGGCGAAGGAGATGCATTTATGGTACTGGTAGTACTGTACAAGCTCTTAGGGAATAATCTCTTTCTTATTTCTGCCTTTCTTTCCCATGACGACTAAGAACGGGCAAATCAAAAATTTCACTTCGAATTTCGGACCTCAACATCCTGCTGCTCATGGTGTTTCACGATCAGTATTGGAAATGAACGGAGAAGTGGTGGAACGTGCGGATCCGCATATTGGATTACTCCAGTGCGGCACGAAGCCGCTGACGCCGAGTCGGCTCCTATGCCGCTAGCTATGCCCTGCTTGGTCCCCCGGCACGGTGGAGGTTCCGTAGCGCGGCATGAGCACCGGGCTAAGGGGCGGTTGAGCAACTCAAGCAAACCACCCTACCTTACTACAACATAGGGACATAAGGGAGAAGGTTGTGAAGGTGGCCTCGTTATCCACACCTTCGGTCGGATGAATGGAGGACCGACCGATCCGGGTTTTCATGAGCGTTGGCGGGTCCTGGAGTGCCTGTCAAGGGCGCTAGCGCATACCCCGGGGTGATCATCACCACCTGCACCTCACATCTCGGCACAGTGGAACGTGTAACCCGCCTACTGTCTCATTCAACTACATTTGTTCCTGTAATCTATAGCCTAACAGAACGCAGCAGCGATGGACAACCCGCCCATACATCCAGCGGGGAGGATGGCACTACTGGCCAAGACCGTCTGGCGAAAACGCCGCAGGCGCGAAGCGTGGTAGGCCTGCGCCGGGGGAGCATAGGGAGGAAAGGGAGCCCGGACGGTGGAAGAGCCAGGGGAGGCCGGGTCATTTGACGGAAATGGAAGGCTTTTCACCTAGAAGGCCCTATGAAGTAAAGGGAAGCGCATGAATTCTTGGAAAAAGAGGGAGCGAGCCTATATTATATAATTCTATATAAAATGTAATAAAGTCATTTCAATGAATAGATAGAGTCAAGGGTAGGACAGATAGCGCTGCCTACACGCGAATTACGAGGTCGAGCAGTCTCAATTTCACTACAGGATTTGCGAATGAATGCTGGGCTGGGTGGGCCACCTCGAATGGCGTGAGCCGCATGCGGGGAGACCCGCACGTACGGTTTTTAGGGGGATCGGGTCGAAAGACCGGCCGACGCCCACCCGACTAGAGGGACTGAGAAATTAATAGAGTACAAAACTTATCTTCAAGCTTTACCTTATTCTGATCGTTCAGAGGGCGATCGCGGAGTCACTGAATGAAGTCCTCCGTTTCTTTCGGAGGACCCGCAGCGAGGCAGAGATGACTAAGTGACATATGGAATATGGCGACGACAACAGCATGTCGTAGAAGGAGATAACAGGTGGAGCCAACGATCCACTAAAACTAACGTATCTACAACTACATCCCCGAGCGGCAGTCAAACGGAGGCGTGAATGCAAGATGCCAGCGGAATGATCGGCCGGACAGAGGCTAGGGCTGCTTCCTTCCCACCGCGTCCTTCCTTGTGTGTCGGAGATATAAAGCGAGTGCACCGGAACCGGAAAAGAACGGGAACTGGGTCGATCTATTCTATGGCGAAGCATCCGAAGCATAACTGCACACTCACACGATCTTTGCCGAGAGATAGGAGCATTCGGTGGAACCGGTGAACTACACTTGCTTCTGGATAGATGTGTGGGACAGAGGGCTCGTGGTACCTGCTGCCTACCCTTCCTTCTCTGCTTTTAGAACCGTGTGAACGGAGAGTGGGCAGAAGGGAAGGAGGTCCTCATACGGAGTCGCACACTTCCCAGAGCAGTGCGGGAGACTGGGGAATGGGTCGAGTAAACTCCCCGAAAAATAACAGACGAAGCTTTACTTAGATAGGGCTTTGATTGGTATTGATTTAATCTTTTTGATTGGAAAGGAGGGCGCCTGGGTATGTTATAGAAAAGGAAGGCAGAGGTAGTATATCGAATGGCGAAGAGAGGTGGCTCGGCAGGGAAGGAATGGGAAATCTCGTCAAGGATGACTTATTTGTTGGCGAAACGAAGGGCGCCTTCGGCTTAAGTGATTCTCTGAGCCGGTCTGGATTTCCAACGCCTCGGGAAACTGGTCGAGATAGATGACAGCGTCCTTTTCCTCTCTTCCTTACCGGTAGGGCAATCTTCTCTTATGGCCTTCACCTCCCGCCCGGCCCGGAAATAGAACCCAGCCCTCTTCTGATCCATTCATTTCTGAAAGCAGGGGATCCAGAGCCCCTTCTATTGCATAACCTAAAAAAGCTATAAGCAAAGTACCCAAGTGGTTGCGGAAACGAGACGCTTTGGTTACCGGCGAACGCTTCCAAAGGCGACCCCTTCGAGTTTCCGGCTGTTTCCTAGATTGAAGTAGCCTTTCGTCGCCCGAAAGAATATCAAAGAGCTCGGCCTACCTTTGGTAGGCCTTTGGTGCGCGGAGCCCGGTGACTAAGAAAGAAATTGGTTTGCGCTTGAATTGATGAGGTCGCAAAGAGGGAAGTAGGGCTCCTATTGAAATGAAACGCTTTCCCTCCCTCAAAAGGCGACCAGCTTTCAATACTAGTTGTTACGTTACACTGCCATTTTTCCAATATCATTGAATAGCATGGCCCGGGGCTAAGGTAACTCAAGTGGGAGAGCCGTGTTATGGGTGACCTTATTGCACGGTTCAGAGAGCACTTGTGTATGTGATGCAAGTGAACGTGTACGAAAAAGCTGTCGTAAAGTTTCGTTGTTCGTTCCGTCGTCGACCCTATCTATGTTTCTACGATGGCCCAAGAACACGCTTATTCTTCAGCCGTAGAGAAACTTTTGAATTGCGAGGTACCATTACGAGCTCAATATATACGAGTGTTATTCCGTGAAATAACTCGAATTTCAAATCATTCACTTGCTTTAACTACTCATGCTATGGATGTGGGAGCATTAACTCCGTTCCTGTGGGCTTTTGAGGAGCGGGAGAAATTGTTGGAATTCTATGAAAGAGTATCGGGAGCCAGGATGCATGCCAGTTTCATACGACCAGGTGGAGTGGCACAAGATCTGCCTCTTGGCTTATGTCGAGATATTGATTCCTCCACACAACAATTTTCTTCTCGTATCGACGAATTAGAAGAGATGTCAACCGGCAACCGTATCTGGAAACAACGATTAGTGGATATTGGTACTGTCACTGCACAGCAAGCAAAGGATTGGGGATTCAGTGGTGTAATGTTAAGAGGTCGTGCGACATGAAGACATTGATAGCAATATGGGGGAAGTTCCCATCAGGCAACAACGGTTCTGCCTGACCCTACTTAAGCATGCATATTTTGTCAGTGAAGACTTGGTGTGAAGCCTTGGAGCTTACGTTAGAAGAGCAAAAGGCCCGGGGCTAGGGTGAGCTGAGGGGGGACAGCGTAAGTGAGCGAATGTGTGTAAGCCCAGTCAAACATGACTGTTCTAGGCGGGGCGGGCCGCCCACCTTCGAATGGTGTTGGTCCTACGGACCGTGAACGGATTTCGCTTCTGGCCTCTGGGCACGTCTACACCGCATGAGTTCACCGGGGTGGAGCACGGTCCGCCAAAATCGGCATAGGTTAGGTGCTATTGATGGAACATGGTAAGCCTATTTTCTCCATATGGAAGTGCTGCAGGCACATAGAGATGTGGGTAGAGGAAGCCTCAAAAAGCGAAGGCCGAGCTGTAGGTTACGTGACCTGCACCGAGTTGGTGGCTGACTGGGCTTTTTCCTGGATCAAAGCAGATCAGCTCGCCTTCTTGTTATCCAAAAGTAGGTCGAATCGGGTTTCAAAACCCCCTGCCTCCGAACGTCGAATGAAATAGGTGGCCGGGTTCTCTTTACCTTTTGATAGGGCCCGGCCACCTTCCCCCTATCCCTTATGTTTAGGGGCGGGATCCGTCCAAGAACGACCATGTGGTGGTACGGAAGGCACGGACTCCGCGAACGTCCCGCGCCCCCTTTACTAATAAGGGAAAGAAAGCCGTGACCAGAACCACATTCCTTTTGCGTGCGGATGTAGCTGACGTGTCTGACTCTATTGGTCATAGTTTCCTGCTGTTGCGGCTGGTACTCGTTTGCGCGCGCGTGAACCAACCCAACAAACAAGGATAGGCTGCCTCTCCGGGCATCTGAGAATGATTCGAGCTGTATGAAGGGAAACTCTCACGTACAGTTTTTTTTTTGGGGGGGGGAGGAGCCCGACAGGGTCCCCCCACTGACTTGGCCCGGGCCTAAGTGAAAGTGAAGTGGTGGGCCTACCCATCCCAACCAGGGGTATGCTGGGATTTGCGAAAAGCAGCACCTTACGATGTTCATGACCAATTGGATCCTGACGTACCAGTAGGTACCAGAGGAGATCGCTATGATCGTTACTGTATCCGTATTGAAGAGATGCGACAAAGTCTTCGGATCAT